ATTTTATCTTCACTTTAAGTCATCTTTAGTATAAGATTTTAAAAGACAATTAAATATTTGTCTTTCCAAATTTAATAATAAAAAGACAGACAAAAAAGGGTCTTTTTATAGAGGGGAACAGGAAAGAGGTTTTAATGACTATATATTATTAAAAAACAATATAATTAATTTTAATATTAATCAATTTTAATAACCTGTAGATCTATAGTGTAGTGGCTAACACTTCACAGGTCAAATCACAAAATGCCAGTTCAATCCGATGTAAAAGCAGTTGAATAGAATTAGTATGATATCTGGTACCATAACCTGTTAAAGAACTGTTTCTCATGAGAAGCCATTTCACATGCTAATCCAGTAGGTGTTAAGATTGTGATTTTCAGAAAAGGAGTTGTAGTGTGATGATTATCCAGTTGATGTTATGATGATTGCCAGAAGTTGCAAGGTGTATGAGGTGTTTGCTTTCGATGAGTAGATTTGGTAATCCTTCCCCTAATATCTGGTGTCTTTCATGTAAATTTCTGCTCTAGTCTCATCCCAATCCAGTAATAAACCGATCTGATGGTACTTATCCCAAGAAGGCTTCTGACTATAAGTCCTGTTCCCTGTAATGTGTAAGTCAGTATTCAGGTAATAAGCACCAGTTATAAGTATCTTGAACGTTCTTGGATATCATTGGACAGGTAAAAAATTAAATGGTTAGTCCAGTTACAGGTAGTGGTAAAGGGATTTATTCCTGATGGAGTAAGCAGTGATTATATAGCTTTATTCACCATAAATATTACTTCTAGTATTCCTTTCAACTTCCTTTTAATTTCCTCCAATTAGAAATAAAGCTGTCCAATTACTAATGAAAATGCACATTATTGATCCAACAAAGAATTACCTTTGTCTAGTAAATTAACCTCTATACCTAATATAGTTAGGAACAAGCTACAGCAAATATTATTATTTGGAGCAATCCCAATAAGTATTGGATATAACTGATAACCAATATATTATAGCATAGTCCTAGATAGTAATGTCGAAAAATATATGTAAACATTGTTATTAGGAATAAAATATCCAGCCAGACAATTAATGCTGGTGCACTTTAAAAATATATATATATATATATATTAATCAATTTTATTTGATTTCATAGATTAAATTTAAAATATATAATTATTTATTAAATATTTATTTGTTTTATCAAATCTTAAAACTATATATATGCTTTTATCTATACTATCTATTGGTATACAACTATATTGTTCAAGTAATTCTAATTTTTAATATCTTTTCAATTTGTTTTTTTCTTAATACTAACGAATATAAACAAGTTTAAATAGTTTGCTATTTTCAGATTTATAAAATTTGAATATTAACAATATTTAAATAATATATTAAATTAATATAATAATTTTTATAACACTTGGTGTCTGTCTGGATATATAAACATATCAATAAAGATCACGCACCGTGCGCACGTTCCACTATAAAAAAAAAAAGTTTTTTTATATTTTAATTTTAAATTTTAACTTAAACCTTATCAATAATTATTATTTAACTAAGAAATAAGAAATAATAAATAAATTATTTATATACAATTTATAATTTAGTCAATATAATTTTAATGATTTTTTTTAAAAAAAAAATACTTATAAATTTTTGATAAGAATTAGCTTGTTTCTTTTTCAAATTATTTCATTATTATTTCCATTCCAGGTTTTTTAAGCATAACACAGTATATAAATTTTAATCGTGGTTTATTATTTAATATAAATTTTGAAACCAATTTAAAGTTTTTTTATTAGTAGTACTTAAGGTTATTGCAAGATTGATATTATACTCATTAATATCCAAAGTGTAGTAGGTTAAACGGCAAGCCTGTCGATAGCTTCGATAGATATACTGTATATTTAACTTGTAAAATAAAACCAATCATCTAATCACAACAATAAGTGATTAGAAGAACGTATAACTTTAATGAACATTTTTCTCAGTTCAAATCAACACATACTTTATTTAAGGATTTCTGATCATTATTTTAGTTTTTCTCTATTCAATGTATAAAATAGAATAAAATAAAACATGAATGATAAAAATTGACAAATTTCCTGTCTTACGCGCATTTTATGTGTCTATATAACTATACAACAGGCTTGTTATCTATTATATAAAATTAAACGTCAATAAAACGCCGATGTTAAATTGTTTAATAATAATAATTTTATCTAATCTGCATACAAAAAACGAATATAACATAAAATATCACCAATATATTATAGAACTATTTATTATTACAAGCAAATAGAAATCGCACTCTATAATAATATGTGTCTGAATGTGCATACTCTAAGGTTCGTGTACGCATCTTGTATTATCATTGTATTCTTCTTTGCATCTTAGTTCTTGATTCCATGGCTGTGTGCCTTCCGTGATATAGTCGTGGGTATTGCGTACCATGATTGTATATTCTTCACAATTTGATTGTATATGTTGCCCCCACTGCTGTGTATTTAAAATATGACTTTTAGTTTCGTGGTCGTATACTTTCTGCAAAGTTTTTATCTGTTTTCGAAAATCATGTTGTACATATGTGTATTCGTTCCATGGTTGCGCATTATCTATGTTGTAGTTATAATTCCATGGCTGCGCATTATCTACAGTGTGGTTGAAGTTCCATTGATGCGTATCGTCCACAACATGATTGTAAGCTCCGGCTCCTAATGACATGGTCTCACTATCAAATGTAACATATTGGTCACATTGTTGTTTGTTCCAATCACAGTCGTCCATATTAGTTTCGAGATTGCAAGCTCCTGGTGACATAACTGTAGGCATTTGAAACAGCTGAGTACTTTCCGTATCACGATCATTTTTTTCTATCCACGGAAATACAGTATGTTCTTCACATTCTTGTTTGATTTTATCTAATAAATATTAATTATTGATCAGGTTAATAATAACATAAAAACCGTTACTGTAGTTATTGTATGAGATAATTACCATGATCTTTGTTTTCTATAACTTCGAGTTTACATCTAATATTTTCTGCATTTGATTTTATTTCAGAATTAACGCTGCTTATGTAAAATAATTAGAAAAGATGCATCTAACATGTTATAGATATAGAAAATTTAATATTTACTTGATGTTTAATATATCGAAGCTACTTCTAGAAGAAAATTCTTTGAGAAATATTAATAGATTGATTATTTAAATATTATTTCGTAAATTCACCAAACAAATACCTGACATTTGGCCACTCCTAAACAAATGAGTTGAGTTTATCGATAATCCAAGGGAATCTAACATAGGATTTAAGAGTCTGCTATGATATTTTGAATTTGGATGTTCGATATTAAGATCTTTTGTAAGTAATTTATTAAGTTCAATCAGCTGTTTTCGTTTCTCCTCTGCTTCTTCAAGGGATTTGTCTCCATGCACTTGGTATATACCCTTACTTATTTCATTAATATTTGGCCTATTCGAAGGATCAGGATCCCAACATCTTTGCATTATATTAATCCAGAATTGTGGTGTATCTTCTGTGATTTCAGGTCTTAATCCATTCAATATATCGTTAATAAGAATTGCATCGTGGGTTCGGTTATAGAAAGGTCGACGACCCGTTGTTAATTCCCACATAACCATGCCTAAACTATAAATATCTGATGCAAAAGAATATTTTTTTCCTTTAAAAATTTCTGGTGCTATATATGGAATTACTCCATAAATCTGTGACTCTCTCGGTAATTCTAATGAGTTTGTTGCTGGTTGACTAAATCCCAGATCTGAAATATTGACAGAATAATAATACGAATTTTTATATCCCAAAGATAACTCTTTAGATATCAATATATTCCCACTATGTAAATCTCGATGTATAATATTTTTATCGTGAATTTCCGCAATTCCATCTACAATTCTATTCAAAATATCATGTTTTTTTCCCCAAGGAATCTCTGCAAAAAATTTTGATAAAAATTTATGTAAGTCTCCATCTCTAAAGTATTGCATAACAAAGGCATAGTTCTTAGACTCGGAGTCCTGAGTGACTCCATAAACGCTAATTAAACGAAGTGATCGAGCATTTGTGAATTTATATGTAAAATCCAGCTATATCATGGTTGCAAAAACAAATGTTTAAAGAGATGTTTGTATATAAAGCTTAATAAGTTTAAATGGTAATTACCTCCTTTAAAAATTCGACATCTATATCCTGCGATTTATCTAGTACTTTTAGAATAACTTCATCAGGACTCCGATATGCGGTTCCGATTTCGCTCACATTCTTAATTCTTCCTTTATTCCAAGTTGCTCTGAAAATCTCGCTAAACCCACCGTTGCCAATTTTCTGTATATTCGTAAATTCCTCAAGTGGAATCCATTCTAAAAAATGATTTGCTTTTGATTCTAATTTCAAATGTGTACTTTTAATAAAACCATCGATATTTCGGTTTCCACTTTTTATAACTAAAGATTCAGAAACACAACAAATACGACATAAACATAGACCATATTTTTCAATAATTTTTCGATATTTCTTGCATTTTGAACATCTGGTTCTCCCCATTATTATTTTAAGTAGTTAAATAGGATAGATTCGTTTCCAGAAACGGATATTTCTTAAACTGGATCAATGTAATTTATGACAAAAAGGAATTGCTTATATACTTTTTGATAGATGAATGAAGTTATAACTAACAAATCAAGTATATACTTCTATTCTTTAAAGAACATCAAAATCGAAACTTCGATCCTGAATTTTACAATATGATCGTCGTTGTCAAGTTCTTTTTAGAAGCCTACTGTAGTACTGTACTTATAGAACACAATACATATTGTAATCGAACTTTCTAGTTTACTGCGAACTAAGCTAGATTTAAATTTTTTAGATTCTGTAGACCGTCTTAATTGAAGTATAAAAGTTTATTAAGACATACTATACTTCATAAAAATTTAGAACCAAAAAGTGATTACTGTGTTACATCATAAGTAAAAGGCGTGTAGTAGAACGATGCGCAATTTACAAGAATTTTTGGAAGGGTTACGCATAAAAAATTAGACATCGATTGCACTTCTCTTTGGAGTCTCCAACAAGGATCATACCGTATAATGAAATTTCTCCAAGTTCAATACTATTTTCAAAATCATTAAAACTTTTCCCCGAAGTATCAAAATAGACGGTCCTAATTTGGTATTGGTTTGTGAAAAGAATACATCTGAACCTCGGGAAAACACGATTTTGATGTGATGTTGCATAACCTCATTCTAAAAAAAGCTTTGAGAAAATTTGATGCATTGTCCAAAGTACACCTGACCGTTAAAAAATCACATTACGTAAAATTTTGTCAATAACAAGTTCCGATACGTATATTTTTTGACGAAAGACAAATGCCATTATTATGCTTTATGGGCATGGCCGTGGCGATTTCTAATCAGAAATAGCTAACAGTGTGTGATATCATAAAACTTTATGTCAAAAAAAATCCGTAAAATGATTATTAACAAAATATTGCTTTCTTTCGATTAAACTTTCTGGCAAAAAAATAGACCAACTTTTTCTACTATACTATTCACTATACTCTTAAACTTGTAGGCCTAAAAAGTTGTATAATTGTGCAACTACAGTATTTTATGAATCTAATTCTCCAACAATATATTTAAATATGCTATACAAAGTTAATAGAAGATTATAAAAAAAATGGTTTATCTTTTAAATTAATATATTGTATATGACAAAATTTATATTTTAATAAAAATTTGATAATAAAATTATTAAAAAGGTATGATGTTCATGACAGTCTTTATAAATAATCAAATGTTATTTTATTTTTTTGATTATAAAAAAGTTCTTTTTAATAATTGAATAATGGTCTAAATATAAAACAAACTAGTAAGCAATTAAAATCAAGTATTTTATAAAATAATGATATTTTTAGTTTATTTAAAATACTTTAAATATTAACATAAAAAATTTATTAATAATTTGTATTTTTTTCAAAAAAAATTAACAAAAATCAACAAAATTTATAATATAATACTGTTTAATAATTATTAATATATATATATATATATATTTACATAACAAAACTACAGTCTGGTTCAAAAAAAAAACCAGTATGAATTTTTTTTATAATTTGATAAATAATAATTTAAATTAAAAAAACTTTAATATATTATTTCTTTTAAATAATATATATTAAAAGTTTTATTAATATTTAATTAATAATTTATTTTAAAATATTAATTTAAAGTTGAAAATAGTTTTTTTAAAATAATTACAAATTTAATATATATATATATTCTATTTCGAAAATAAAATAAAAAAAAATTTAACTTATAAAAAATTATAAAATGTTTTTTATTATATTTAAATAATAATATTAAAATTATTTGTTTTTTTATTTTGTTAAATTAATTTTAATTTTTTGTTTTGTAGATAAATATTATTTCTTTATTTAATTTGTATAATACTAGATATATATTATAAAATAAACAATATCTCTAACAATACAATAAGTTAAATACTAGCTTGTTTACAGTTACTACTTAATTAGAACTTTTAATAATACTATTTTTATATTAATTTGATACTATTTAATACTTAAATTTATTATAAATTGTTTATTATTTTAATATCAATTCAATATCAGTTTGATACTTTTCAGATAATTAAAGTTTATATAGTGTTGGGGGTTATAACGGTGAGTCTGTCGCTACATCACGATCGCTGATCGTGTAACGTCAAAAGAGGCGTGGAGATGTGGCACGAGGTAAGTGAAAGTGTTAGATAATAGTCTGAGTTTTATAGTAAAAGGACAGTA